CGGGAAGGCAAAGGCGTGATCGTACCGCTCCTCACAGTTTATGATTTTGTGATTTGATTCTGGGATACTATGACAATATACTATTTTGAAAACAAGTTTGAAATAAGCATGTGTTTTAAATGTTTTGAAAAAGTTTTAATTTGGCATGAAATTTTTGGGTGTTACATTACACCATTGGAATGATTCTCCGCCGTGTGACGACGGTAGTTTGGAGACCAGTTGTGTTCTGCAGATGCTCGCGAAGGCATTTTTCCTATTTTGGAGTGAAGTTAAAGACAAGATTGGGGTAAGCAAGTTTCCAGATGTGCCATTTTAGGGAAACAAAGTCTTCAATTTATACGGAGGTGTCACACCCCCAAACCAGAACGGCGAAACGTGGGGGGGGCGGAGGACGCCATGCTCAGTATCATAACCATAGTGAAGAAAGTAAAACACAACCATCATAGATATAATTTAAAAGGTTACATTGTTACCAAAATACATGTTTCCAAATAAATTACATATGATGTTCAAAATATAGCAAAAAAATCTACGCCTTAGCGTCTTGACTTCCGAAATCTTGTAGTTACCTGTATTACGGATTACCTGAGAATACAAGTTGTTTTGAAAGAGTATCAGCATAAAGCTGGTGAGTTCATAAGTATTTATGAAAATGAATGTTGTTTCCTTAAAGTTTGTTACAAGTTTGTTTCCAGAAAATCCAATATTTTCTAATGGGTTGTTATAGTCTTAACTGAACCAAGATGTAGTGTATGTAAGTAAATCGCCATACTTGTGTGTGTGTGTGGTTTCATATTTAAATAAAACTCCTTAAATCCTCGTGAACTGTGTGTTTTGTTAATTTTCATGTGAGATGTTATAACCTACTAAACTCGAAGACCTCGTACTCGACGTTCTTCAGGCTTCGGAATGTTATGACACTTGTCACCCCAGACCTGGCGGTCTAGCTGTTGCAGGCAGCTTAGGGTGCGGGTTTGTCAGACCCAATATAGATCTATACACAACTATCACGCCCTCCCTCCAGGAGGTTTCTGATTATAACTACAAGACTTTACTGTGGTACTTAAGAGTACCCCGAAGGAGAATGTCTCACAAATTTATTTATTAACAAGTTCACGTAGTATGTAATGAAATATTCGTTTTGTAAATCGATAATGTTATTGTTTTTCTTTGTTAAATGAAGTGTTCAAAACTATACCTATATAGTTTATCAGAAGTGTTATATGATGGTATGAAACCTGTTACGCATGTATATGTATTTCAAATAAATGACATTGGAAATACTAAGTGTAAATCTTACACACCTTGCTCAACATGTTACAAGGTGTGAATAACTCTTAAATATGTATTTGACAGTTTTACCCTTAACTGTCACTGTTTTTGAGTAATTATAGAAACATCATCGTAAGTCAAAAACTGAATCCGCAAACTCTGAGTATTTGGAAAAAGTGTCTACTGTGTTCATAAATTTTCCCATAATTTTTGGTGGTCTCAAACTAGTGTGAAAATGTTCCTTTTCACAACCTGGTCTGATTTTGTTGCTGCAGTGATAGACAGTTTTGTAAAAATCACCATAAATTGTAGAAAAATCGTATGGAGATGGGAAAGTAGTCATTTTAAAGGTACAAACCTGAACTACTTGCATATTAAACATTTTTGAAAAATATTAAGTTTAAGTGGGGTAAAACAGTTCGTGAACAGGTCACAACTTTTCTGTTGTAAGCTGTCAAGTTAAGTTTTGAATATGTTTTGGTGTGTTAACTTGTATCCCCCCCCCCCCCCTCTGAAAACTGAAGAAAACTAGAAAATGTAGGGGTATGAACTCACCTTGAGTGATGACTTGAAGAGTGGAAGGTTGAAGTTAAGGAATATCAAGTCAAGAGCACTTGATGAACACGTGAAGACTTGGATGATTCCTAAGAACGATTTTTGGCGTTAAGATATGAGTCAATGATCCGAGAGTGTTATGAAATTATGGAATAACACTTGAGTTTAGTTGGAATACTTACCAAAAAGTGCAGTAGCAACTCAAGAACACTTGCACAAGGTGGTGGGAAGTAGAGAGAAAGAAGCTTTCTTGAGGTTGTATGAGAAGTGTGTGTATGTTTGAAATGAGCAAGTAAGCCAAGAAATGCTCCAGGGATCTCTATATATATTGAAGGTTGCTGGAGCAACTTGTGAGTTTGAAGTGATGTGTGCCTTGGTTTGTGTGATGTGGATAAGGTTGGCTAATGAGAGGATGACACATGGAGGCAAGTGGGCACACTTGACCCACTTGTGGGGTAGAATACTCCTCTTATTATAAAATAATGATTTTTAATTAAAAATCCTTGAAAAATAAATAAAATATGAGTTTTGGGGGTTAAAAATGGTAAAAAATATGAATTTGGTGAAAAAATCCCGTCAAAAACGGGCTTAGGAGGCGAAAGTAGTCGAAAACCGGCATTAGGGACCGAACCTGCGAGGTTCGGCTCTTAGGAGGGTGAGAACCGAGAGGAGGGGAGAAGGAACCGAGAGAAGGAGGAAGGGGCCGAAGGTGCGAGGCTTCTCGAATATGGGGCCGAAGTTCGGTCCTTGCTGCTGGCTTCGGTCCGAGATGGCTTCTGACAAGTTCGGCTCCTAAGAGGGGTTTCGGCCCTATTTAGCTGTTTTTCGATATAACTCACCGTTTCGAGCGGTTTTTGGCCAAGTTAAGGGTCGGGATGACTATAAAAAGTTGAGAGAGATTTTGAGAGAGATTTGGGAGAGATTTCACATACTTGGAGAGATTTGGGAGAGATTTCACTTACTTGGAGAGATTTGGGAGAGATTTCACATACTTGGAGAGATTTCACATACTTAGAGAGATTTGGGAGAGATTTCACATACTTGGAGAGATTTGGGAGAGATTTCACATACTTGGAGAGATTTAGGAGAGATTTCACATACTTGGAGAGATTTGGGAGAGATTTCACATACTTGGAGAGATTTCACATACTTAGAGAGATTTGGGAGAGATTTCACATACTTGGAGAGATTTGGGAGAGATTTCACATACTTGGAGAGATTTGGGAGAGATTTAATTCTTAGCCATGATTATCGTATAATCTCGTAATGCAAGGTTCGTGAACCCCGTTGCGTTTCGTTTATGGTTGTTTTATGTTCCCGAAAGGGTCCTTAGTCGTGTTTTGATGCGTTTAACTCCCTTTTTAGGGTTTTTATATTGTTAACACATGGATTCGTCGAGACACTTGAATTTTTGACATACAAATGCACATTTTTATACATAGAATAACTTTTAGCATACAAGCACTAATTAAATTCGACCGGTTTGACTTGTTTGACTTTGACTTGAATTTGACGGTTGTCACAGAAGGCGGCTTAAACAGTCCAAGCGTGCTCCCTACGAATCACATACAAGTCGACGTCGTTTGGGTTGTTGGGACGCTTTGAATTTTTTCCATGTCATCGCTTACGTGTTAGCTTACGCTTATGTGGCAATGGAAACCGGCAACTATATGTGAAAGGGATTAGATTGCTAGGTTACGAATAATCCGTTCCCTCATAAAGCCACAAAATAAGCTAAGTGGCTAAATGGGTAAACCCTAGAAACTTAATAGGGCATATATGTCATTTTCCCTTGCTTATCTCCCTTTTGTTCTAACATGTTTGGTAAATCTCCAAAAATTAATGCATGTGTCTATCTTGTCTTCATCAATTCAGAAAATAAAGGAAAATGAGATTAAGGAGATTAGATGAGTGATGTCGATAAACTCGGTTTCCAATTTTACAATGAAGCTTTATTGCAAAATGGGAATCGAAGAGCATTCAGAACAACAAGTTGTAGATGTTTTCGATATGTTACCAGATGCTTTGGTTCTTGAAATCTTCAACATGGTTCAAGATGACAGATCCTTATCTGCTTGTATGGTTCTCTATAAACGTCTCGGAGATCTTGCTACCTAAATGGACAACGTTCCTCTAGAAATCATTCGCCGAAATAAGTTGTCGGAGTTTTCGAACGCTGATTCAAGTTGGCATACGAACAAATCAAAAGCCTTCTTTGGAAGATTCATTATGAATCTGATTCAATCTCTTTTACATCGTAAGTTTTCGAGGAAATCCAAGGCGTGTTCCCCTGTAATTCCAATGATGAAGAAGGCACCACGTTTAGATTGCCTAATGTAAATTGGGTTAATCGCCTTCACGGCTGATACATTGCATTTGATTATGTTGTATAATCCAATTGATCTAAGATTATAGTACCACAAACCGAGACATGATGTGATGTGGATTTTATTTTTATTTTTTTAGTGAAATAAAAGTGGAAACCGTTAATTAAAGTTAAGGTACATTTTTAACAGGTAAATTCAGACTTCATTTCCTTAACGTGCGAAAAAAAAATAAGTGACCTTTTAATAAATATCCCTTAATACTATCTAATATGATAATCCATTATTTTGTATCCCAAATATATATTCCAGATTTAGAAAGATCTGTACTATAGAATCATAACAAGTAAGGCAGCTGAAATATCTAAGTTCTAACATCGTACATCGTAAGACAATTATCTACAGATATATAAGAACATCTTTATTTATTATAAGCAACTTAATTATGCTCATTTTATACTATAAGCTTTGTTTATTTTTATTAATTTGGCACGTTATACAAGACTATCTGCTGTGAATGCAAACCAGTGGATATTACATTACCCATAGTTGGCAACTTGTTTAATACCACAAACCAAGGGGTTCCAAATTTCCAATGGTAAAGAAAAGACACGTAAACTTGTCAGAAACCACAAACTCACACACATTAATATCGACGTGCATCAACACACACCTTACCCCACCCCAAAAGGATTCTTCTATTCCCACATAAATCTTTATGGTCTACTCCAAGACAACGAATGCATCACCAAGAGTAGTATTTCTTGGAAAAACAAGCACATATTCTTCTGCATTTTGTTCATGATAAGTCACTGAAACCGAAAAGATCTTCAAGATTTCATCGTTTCAATGGATGCCCACAAACAACCTAATCTTGAGACCACTCACAACCACCACCACCTCATTCGCCGTAACCGTAACCCTACTGTATCATCAACATCTTCTCAAGATCTCAAGAGAACCCATGAAGAGTTCATCAAGAATCTTGAAGGAGCTTGCGATGACAACCATAAAGTGATCACAAAAACTTCTTTGTTGGCGGCCGAAGAAGAAGGTAATCACAAGGCGGAGAGAAGTATAGCGTTATGTCAGCCAGAAGCGTCAATGGTGGTGGAGGAGGAGAGTGGAAGAGAAAGACTAAAGAGACATCGGGTCGAGATGTCGGGTCGGGTGTGGATACCGGACATATGGGGGCAAGAGGATCTGCTGAAGAAATGGATAGATTGCACAGTGTTCGATTCGTCTCTAGAGAAGAATAGCGTTATGTCAGCCAGGGAAGCTCTGATTCAAGAAGGAAGATCGACTCTAAGGATAGAGAATAGTTGTTAATTAATATTTAATTAACAATTTATGTTGGGCACTTGGCCATGTATAATTGGTTTGGGAGTCAAACGGATTTTGAGGCTTACCTTTTGGATAACGCATTGCATATGGTAAATTACTTGATATACAGGTCGACAATCAAAAATATTAGTATCATTCAATTACAGAATTACTTGAAGTCTTGAATGATATTTGATCTTGAGAGAAACAAATATCAAAGAAGTTTTGTAACATCTTAAAATTTTGGTTTTATTGTAATAAGTATTATTTTAATGATAAATAAAAAGGAAAACAAGATGACAACAATTTAACATTTTCAAATTTTATTTATTACATTTATTAACTTTTAGATATAAATTAAAATATGATTCTAGCCCCTTAGTCAATATAATTGCAATTATCCATCAAATAAAAAATCATTCATTCTTTTAGACAAAATGAGTTCTTACTTTGGGGAGGAAAGGAGATGATTGAGAGGGAGAAAGATTTTTTTTTGTTTTTAATTAAAGGAGAAAGGAAAGGAAAGGAAAGGGAAGAAATGGATTGGGAGGGGGAGGAAAGAAGAAAAAATGTGTGCTCTCTTTCCGCTCATATTTGGAAGGATCGGGAAAGAAAAGAAAAAAAAGACCATTCTTACCCTTCTTCATTCTTTTATTGGGCGGCAGAGATGGAAAGGATTAGTGAAGGCGGAAACCTCGTCTTTGAACCCTAAATTATTAAAAACTTCGTTTTTTTAGGTTTTTGTCTTTCCCATTCTTTTTTTATTTTTTCCCATCTTAGAAATTGTATTTTACTAGTTTAAAAGGTTAAAACTAGATTATCTTATAGAGGATTTTTTTTTTTGGGTTAACTTCCTCAGGATCAGGGACGGATCTTCACGGGGCCAGGAGGGGCTGTGCCCCCCCCTCCCCCCTCTGTTTTTTTTTGTCACAACTAGTCCGTAAGTATTAAAAATTTTACATATTAGGCCCAAAAGCTATAAAATTTGGCTTTGGCCTCCCCTGTTCTCCGATTTTCATACTTATTATAGTTTCGCCTCCCCCCCCCCCTCCCAAAAAAAAAAATTAAAAGTTCAAGCTCCGTCACTGCTCAGGATAATCTTATATGAAGATTTCATAATCTTTAAAAGAATTTCTCTCTTTTATTTGTTGACAAATGTCCATTTTAGGTTTCCCACATGCGTCCATTTGGATGTTACTATATAATCTACATAAAAATCTCCAAAGTTAGGGATGTCCACAGATATCCTTAGTTATAAGGTAGCCTCGCCTCTGTTGCAATTATGAATTTTCCCCAATATAAATTCTACTCTTGGTTTCATCCATGAATTTGCCATAATTGATATTCAACTCTTTTGAAATCTCTAACTATTTCTCTCGATGATGAAATTATATTTCAAGTAAATTGCACGTTGAATCAGGTTTGAGCATCGATACATTTATACGACATATTTGACAATACATTGGTTTTCTAGCAGGTTTTGAGCATAATAGTTTTTATGCATAATATTTTAGAGGGTGTAATGGTTTTTGGTAGTGATGTTAGATGGCAATGGTGGTGGTCGATGGCGGAGGTGGTGGTGGTGGTCGATGGCTTGTAATCGGTGGTGGGGTAGATGGTGGGACCATATATATTATTAAATAGTTTTATAATAAGTTAATAATAAATAAATCTAAAATAAATTAAAAAAGATATTTAAAGGCAATATAGTTTTTTTTATCTTGACAATGATGAAAGTCAGAACAAAACAATAACATGGGGACAGTGCGAGTGCAAAAAAAGAAAAAAAAAGTTAGGGACTCAACATGCAGTTTTAACCAAACCACAATGACAATTTCAGTATTTTACGTTAATTTAAATGAATACTAATTTTAAAATTTTGGATGTTTTCAAAATATATTTTGAGCTGCATCAATGCATGATGAAAAGTTGTTTCAAATTACCTTTGAATTTTGATATACACTTTTAGGAAAAGTTATCAACAATTAATTTTGTCAGTTGTCAATTATCCTTAATTTCAAAACTTATTAGTTGCAAGTATACTCACCATCTTCATCTAGTGAGTATACCATCTTCAAATCTCCATCCTCAGTGACTTGATATACATTTCTACAAATAAACAAAATGAGTTCATCCTAACAATGTATAACTAAAGTTTAGAAAACAAGAATGCAAAACAAAATAACCAAAGTACACTTGATTAATTGGAAAATCACTCAAAACCAATGTTTTTACAATCTGTTCTCATAATCATAAACTCGATTATAGACATGTATATATAGTCTAACATACCAACTTGTATTAGACTATGAGACTTATGACCAACTTGCCATAAACTAGACTTGCCATAAATTAGATTGTTTGGTCTCCAAGACTTAGGATTCCAACAATCACCCCCGAATCTCTACGTCCTTCTAGAAAATTCTTCAACCCCGATCAACATCCTATTATCTCTTTTCACCACCCCGACCTCTTTAATCAAGCTTGTTCCGAGAGCACTCTTCCACCGATCAACAAGACAAGGTCACGACCACCTTTACCGTCTTCCATTGCCTGCAAAACGAACCGAATCAAAGTCACCCGCTTTGACGTCTTCCCGTCTGTTTACTTCGCGCCTCCGGTTAGTCTCTCTACCTTAGAACAAGCTCGAACAAGAGAAATCGAGGCTGCTGTTGAGATGCTTCAACTCGCCCTCAAAAACAATCTACACCCCTTAAACCGAACTCGGTTCCTACTGCGTCTGCCCCGCAGCAAAGGGCTACACTTTTTTCTTAAAACCGACTCTCAAACCGGCCGCCCTACGTCCTCACGAACCCTATGCTCTGATACCAATTAAAGTTTAGAAACAAGAATGCAAAACAAAATAACCAAAATTCACTTGATTAATTTGAAAATCACTCTAAACCAATGTTTTTACAATCTGTTCTCATAATCATAAACTCGATTATAGACATGTATATATAGCCTAACATACCAACTTGTATTAGACTATGAAACTTATGACCAACTTGTCATAAATTAGATTGTTTGGTCTCCAAGACTTAGGATTCCAACAATAACATCTTATTGGTAAAATTATGTTATAAAATTGCTAATAGATCTTTTGGTTTGGTTCGTTTGGTAGCTATCAAGATGGGTTTAGCATAAAGTCAGATATATTTATATCTCTAATTGCATGGAATGGATAACGTTAATGAGATAGTTGACGACAGTTATATGAGACACTTCGAGGGTTGCTAAGTTAGAAATGTTAATTGGGTGCAATTTTGGAGCAGAGTAAAAAAAATAGAAGTTGAGGGACTAAAGTTGCCAATTGGTGAAGGTTTTACATATTTAAACCTTAACCTTAATTTTTTTTACCTCATTTGGGACCTTTTTTTTACCGTGGATAACAGAGGTAAATCGATTTTGATGAGAGAATTCAAGTTTTGAGAAGAGTAATGAAGTTCTATAGGAGTTCTAACACCAAAAAAAAAAAAAAAAAAAAAAAAAAAAAAGAGGTTATGAGGTAGTAAATTTCACCACTTTTGTCATTTAAAATTACAGATTTAGGGTATCTTCTTAAATATGAATTTTGATTGAAGATTAGTATAGAATTCCAAGATTTGGTGCAAGTTTGATTTAATCCATTAGATGAAACAATTTATGTTATTGGTCTAGATCAAAATCATTGATTATAATTATATTAGAATATGTTAGCTTCAAATGTTAGTTTGTAAATGAATATTTATCAAGTTTGAAGTGGATTTTTGAAATATAGAATGATTGAATATTCATTTAATTAGTTAATTATTGATTTAAACATCTTGACTAAGTTGAACTACAGTTATGACTTAGATTTGCAATTAATTAATGAAAGCAACTCCTAGATGTCAATTTTGAAGATTTGAAAATCAAACATGAAAATTAGAAGTTGAACTTTTAGATTTGTGATTTAATAATCTTAACGATGTTAATTATGATGTAATGTTATGTTTGAACAACCCTATTTACTTAAATAGAAAATATTCTTATCTACTCCAAAGTCAAGAAAAGATGACAACACCCAAGAATTACATTAAAACTACTAATAAAATATAAGAAGCTTTACACAAATTCTCAAAATGTAAAATTCGGATTCAAGAATCAAGATATTCAGTTCTTAGATCATGTAATCAACAAACTCAAATCTCGTTTTTCAGGTTCGAAAAATATATCTGTTTATTGGCATATGCCAAAAATACCCACAAAATCTGGTTATGGGGTTAATAAAGATGAAATTTTAACGAGTCTAGTTGCTGAAAAGAGTGTTGGGCAAATATGTAATTTAAGAAAAATACTTTCCTTGACAAGAATATTACAGTGTTCAAAAGTCAAAACGATTCCAACTTCCAGATCTTGATGGTCCCATCATCACTTGCTGAAGCAAGAAGCCTGTTCCCCTGCTTTAAAAAAAAAACTATTAATGTAATACAAAGGAATGAAAGTATGTTGCTATAAATATAATAAAAAAAATAAACAAAAGTAGGTTGCTATTTCTTGACTTACAGTAGAGCTCCATTGCACCGAATTTATGTCCATATCATGAGCCTTTTCCTTCTTGAGAAGCAGCTTATACAAAGCTCCATCCACCTAAACAACCAAAAATCAATCCCATCATGTAACCAGAAGTACACAGTAACACAGGTAACCTACCGAATGATCTTGAGATTGTGCAAATAAGCGAATGGCATCATCAGCAGCTCCAGTAGCTATTATCCCTTCCTTTGACCAATGGACAGAGAAAATTGTCCGATCATGATAACCAGACATCGTGCAAACATGTCTCCTGTCAAACAAAAAATATACTTTTTATTTATTTATTTAACAAAATACATAACAGGAAATCATTTTTTTTAAATAAAAAGGAAAAAGAAATCATCTTATCTTATTCTTACCAAGATGCATTGCCATCACCAGATTGCAAACTTATAATATCCACATCCCACACCTTAATGGTCAGATCATCACTGAAAATTTCACCAAAATTATTTTTAAGTTATTTTAAATAGTTATATTAGCAATTAAATACTATTACTATACCTGCATGTAACCATTTTGTCTCCAGTGCTATTAAAAGATAATGCCCATACTGTTGATGAGTGTCCACTGAAAATCATTTGTAACTGATTCATTAAATTCCATCATTCACCAAAATGTTAACAGAATGAGTGTTGGATACCTATTTGATTCGCCTAAAGTCTGCACACAATGCCAATCATCACTATCACCATCATCTGCCCAAACCTGAAAATAAAAACATAATAGAATATCATGTGAATTTGTTTTGAAAGTTTTGAATTATTTGTATGGAATTAAATAATGTTACCTTAATGGTGTTATCATAGCTACAAGAGAATAAAACATCAACAGTTGGATGCCACTGAACCATTTTAACATCTTGTGTATGTCCTTGAAGAACAGAGACACAGTCATATTCATTTCCTGGTAAAACTTCCCAAATCCAAACACATTTGTCTCGACTACAAGTTGCAAGAAGAGAACCAGATGCATTCCATGACACACTTTTCACTTCATTTTCATGCCCCTATACGATACTCATTCTCATATATAAGATAAACATTTGGTTGATAAGTAACGTAAACAGATTATGAACAATATTAGAATGATGAGGTGAGTACTGAGTAGTACCTCTAAAGTGGATACACATTCAAAGTCACTTCCATTCTGTTCCCAAATAGCGGTAGTGGCATCAAAACTTGCAGTTGCTAATTGTTTACCAGATGGCGACCAAGCACATGATCTAACTGTTCGACTATGTGTGTCTTCTAATACTGCCTAAACAAAATTCAAACATCACCCATTGAACTTTTCTGTATCTTAAGTTGAAGCCCTAATTTTGTACAAATTTGAAAATTTTCAATCAAACCTTGCAATCAAAGGAAGTAGAGGAAGGGCTCCGTTGTTGCCAGATTCGGATAGTCTTATCCCCGCTACAAGAAGCGAGGACAGCAGGTACACCGTCGGCTCCAGTAGCCGGATTCCAAGCTAGACCCCATACCCTATCAGTATGACCTTCAAGCCTTTGAACTTCGGTAAGTTTTAAGCTCTCTTCTTCGAGTAAAGTCATGACAGAAGTAGAGTCGAAACCGGCGTTCGGCGGTTGACGATTGAAGTTGAAGGTGAGATCCGCAGAGCGTTGGCCGGTGGTTTTGGTGAACACCGGAACTCTCGAGTCTTGACAGGGAGCGTGTGGCGGCCTCGTGTCTTTTCCGATATTCCAAATCGGCACACAGTTTTAAACCTTTGCGTATCTTTCCCCTTTCCCCGAAGAAAATCAAAAAGTAGTTTGACTCAAAATAAGCCATTCTGTTTGTTTTTTTAAGCAAAAATTTATAAAGTCTGCGTACCACCTTTACAGTCCTCTGCAGTAGAAGAGGTGGACCAAACGGCTGCAGACTGTAATAAGAAGCGAGTTTGTTTTTTTAACATCTGCATACTGCTGCAGATATTAAAAAATTAAAATAAACTGATTTTATAATCCGAATATAGTTTTTTAATACCGAAAATTTAATAATGTATGACATTTCGGCAATAATTTATGATATTTCAGCAAAAAATAATGATATTTTAAAAAAATAAAGATATTTTAGCATAAAATAATGATATTTCATCAACAAATTATTATTATTCAATATAAAAAAAAAGAAAAAAAATTCAACAAGAATAAACAAAAAAAAATGTGAAATAAGATTTCAATAATATATAATCAATATTTTATCAAGAAAAAAAGAAGAAGAAGAGGTTGGAAGAGGTAGGAAGAGGCAAAACAAGTGCTGCGCCAAGAAGAGCACGCGCAGAGGTTTTTTAATCCGAAGACTTCTGAAAAACAAACAGCTGCGAGATGAAAAGTGTTGCGCGTGTGCTGCGTCGCGCATCAATAAGAGGTCTGAAGAGGTTTTTTCCAAAAAACAAACAACACCTTAGTTTTAGGCTGGTTAGACCATCCGGTGTACTTACTATTAAGGTCAACCTCTATATCTTTAAGTCTACTCGGCATGGGCAACGTTATAAGGCGTTATGTTGATTTGGCAGCTCCCATAACGGCGTCATAACACCGGAACACCGCCCCCCTCTCATGTTATTTGGTGTTATGTTAAAAAATGTTATCATGGTCACGGGAAGTAACGTGAGAATCAACCAATCAAAAGTCATTATCTCACTCTCTCTCTAACTCTCTCTGTAGCTCTTAACATGTTATAACATTTGCATACCATTTCCTACATAAATCAAATGGTGTTAAAGATGACATAGCATATGAGTTGGCAAATTTTGGGTATGATAACATGTCTTAACATGTTGCCCACACCCACCAACCTAACGAGGTGGCTCGTGGTTGAGCTGGACTACGACCACGGCCGTGCACACTATCTCGGCCGGTCGTGGTCGTGGTGGTGCATTGTCTGGACGTCGAAACCAAACGCCCAATAAGGTTCTTCCTCTTCTTTGACCATTTGACTAGCCGTTGAACGGCCAAAAATTTTTAAAAAATTGTTTTTTTCTTTTTTCCTTTTTTAAATAATTTTTTTTACATACCATTTTCACCTATAAATACCTCATTCTAAACTTTATTTCTTACACCATTCTTTTCTTACTCTATACACAAAATACCCACAACATTTTCACAACCAAAACACCCCTCCAAACTATAGAAATCGCAAATCCGATAACGCTTTGGCGTTAGACACAACCCTTCGCCAATTCCCGACCATGGAATCGCCTCAAGGTGGTTTTGTCAATTTGTTTCAAACCGGTTCCCCTATCCAACAAACAACACTTTTTCAACAACAATATCAAGCTTTCCCGGCCTTCCAACAACAACTTCACAATATCAAGCTTTCCAACAATTCCAACAACAACAATTCCAACCACAACCATCACAACCCCCTCATTCGTCGGATTTTGTTTCGGAAACTCAACCTTCACCACCACCTCAACCTAAAAAGAAAAAAAAACGGTCCGACCCAACACCACCCAAGAAAAAGTCCCATACACAAAAGAGGAAGAAGAAAAGCTAGTCGATGCACGAATTTCGGCTTCCCAAGACCCAATCAAAGGCGATAGTCAAACTTTTGGTTGTTTTGGGAGAAAGTTCGTGCGGTGTTTTACGAGCTAACGGGAAGTGAAAGCCGAAATCCCGATCAAATTAGCTCGAAGTGGCGCGATATTCGACTAAAGTGCACCGAATTTTGAGGAATTTACAACAACCCCCTAAACATACGAAAAAGTGGGGCAAACGATTTTGATGTCTTCAAGGCAGCTTTGGACCAATTTGAAAAAATAACGCCAACACGCAAAGCTTTTCCGTATGTGAAACATTGGCTAAAGTTGAAAGATGCTCTGAAATTGAAGGAGCAAACGGAAGGAAATTCACAATCTTCCGGTTCAAAGCGTTCAAGAAACTCTGACGGAACGTCTCAACAATCGGACGGGCGAACACATTTCGACATCAACGATGATCCGCTCGATATTGAAGATGAGCAACCTCTTCGTCGACCTGTTGGAAGAAGTAAAGCAAAAAAAGCGGCTTCAACGGCTTCGAGATCTAGTGGTATGGATCAATTTGGAGTAAATTTGATCGTTATGTGCACGTTCAAGAAACGAAGGCGGAGATGTTGAGTCGGGTAGAACAAAAAAATGATAGAAACACAATCGGTGATTCAAACAAAAACTGATATGGAAATCTTGAAAATGAAAGCGGGTGATCTCGAAGGCGAAGATTTGGAGCTATTCCTCGCGATGAAGGAGTCCGTTTAAGTCCGACGTAGGAATAGGTGATAGTTTTTTTTTAGTTAAGCTTGGTAATTTTAGGTTTTTTATTTTTAATGTAATTTTTATTTTTAATGTTATTTTAATTAATGTAATTTGGTATTTTAAATTAATGAAAACCAGTATTTTTTTCAAAAAAAATTATATGATTTTTATGTATTTTTTATTTAAATTTAATTAAAAAATGAGGTGGAGTTGTGTGTTTAGTGGTAAGTATATCATGATTAGTGATAGGAAATGTTGTGATAACGTGACATCCACCACTATAGTGGTTACTGGTGGGTACAACGGATGGTCTAACCATTATAGCGGTAGTTGACACATCATCACCACTAACCATCACTAAACATATGATAACCTAACACTAAACACACTACTCCATCTCATTTTTTAATTCAATTTAAATAAAAAATTCATAAAAATCATATATATTTTTTTAAATACTAGTTTTTCATTAATTTAAAATACCAAATTACATTAAATAAAAACTACATTAATTAAAATAAAATAAATAAAAATAACATTAAAAATAAAAAACCTAAAAATACCAAACTTATGATTTGTGTTTTAAGCAAGATTATTCCATTTTGGGGAATTCTACAACTTTTGCCAAACTTTGACATGTCCAAAACGTTTATGATTTGTGTTTCCATTGAACTCACAACATTTGACCCTTATATCGCGCCACTTCGAGTATATTTCATCAACAATTCGAATTGCACAACCCATTAAACCATGAAAAACATTTTCAACATTTCTCCAAAAAGAACTAGACATTTGACCAACGCTTTTTTCCGAAACCGTCACCCATGTTAGTGCTAATTTCTCTTCTTCCTCTTCTGACCATTTCTTATTTTTTTGGGGCATGGTATTTAAAAGATCAAACAACAAAAATGTATGAATATGAATAAAGGGAGAGAAGAAATGTGTGAAAATTAAGATGGGTGGTGATATTTGTAGGTAAATATTGGGAAAAAAATAAATGAAAGTAGTCGTTGAAGGTCAAAGGAGAATTAAAGCAGGAAATGAATTGATTGGGCGTTGCAATTCGTTGTCCGGAGCACGAAGGTCCACGACCACAACCCACGACGAGACACCGGGATGGTGTGCACTGTTGTGGTTCGTGGCCACCTAGACCACAACCTCGTTTGTGGCCACCATACCGGAAGGCCTTAGGCTAAAGGGTGTGGTGATGTTTTTGCCTATGGTAAAAGCGTGCCACATAGACGCCACATAAGCATTTGCATTTCTTACTAATCGTTACCTATGATAGGGGTGTGGTGATATTTTTGCCATATAAAATTGTTTCCAAACCATAACCATTTACTACCCCTATTGAGTATTTTCTTAATGCATGAAAGTACAAGTAATAATGCAACCCAAACTTAAATTGAGAAATGTTTTATCGGTAAAACTTTTGCATTTGAGCGGTGATAATATACCTATGAAAATCACCGCAGGTAAAACAAATGGTTGAGGGACGGTGTTTACCGCCAGCAATGGTTACCACATAGACATGTCGTCGGTAAACACTTTACGACACCCCATATCCTTAGGTAATAGACCTTTTTAGTTTTTATTTATTTTCCAAAAAATAATTTAAAGTTATTTTAAATAGTTTTTAAACATTTTTATTTTTGTATGATTTTACATATTTAAAATCTCGTTATCAAACATTTATTTATGTATAAATAAAAGTTTTCAACTACTAGCAACTAGTTTCTATTTTTCACCTACCAATTAGTTTTGTGTTTGTTTTTAACGAAAATTAATCATACAAATAATATAAGACGTGTGGTTAGCTGAAAATTGTCATTTTAGTCCAAAAAATGTTTGGATTAACACCAAAGGTCCAAAATGTTTATTTTGTTGCAAGTTTGATCCAAACTTTTTGAAACTTTTTATAATGACTGGTTTGCCCATTATTATTTTATTTTATATTTTTCTTTTATTACAACAATTTAAAAACAATTAAGAAAAAACCAAAAGTAAAATACCTCTCTCTTTCTCTCTCTCATGTTCTTCATTTCTTTTTTAAAACACTCATTTCCCTCAAATCTGCCATGCCCGACGACCCATAAATCCGTCATCCTTGATACCAACAAGATCTATCTCTTTTCCGACGATATCTATATTCAAAAAAAATTGTCACTTCTCTGACGACGTTGACGATCCGACGAGCATGGAGACGAACAGATCTGATGAGATATCTAGGGTTTGTAGAGGAGGCGACGACAGCAAAGGCTCAGGTTCGAACGACACAAGGGTTTGAGCAACGTCGTAGAGGTTCAGATTTTGCCGTTTAGGGTTTGAAAAGCATTGTATGGCAGCGTACACATGAAGATTTGTTGTCACCTTTGTTTTTTGGATTTGAACATATCTGGCGAGATATCCGACGTCGTTTAGGGTTTCAACTTCCCATTTCTCTCCTTATCCGGCGAGGTGCCAACATTTGTAAAAACCCTAGCGCCT